CGCACGCAAAATGAAACTCATATTAATATTGAGTGGTTTTGTGATACTTATGTTCATGTATTTGATTATATTTAAGACTTAACCGTAGGTTTGAATTATAATTTATATATTAATTGTATTTTTTTAATTTAATATATTTTTTAATTGTTTTAGATTTGATTTGTTTTTTGTAAAACAATTTTTTTGTGGTAAATATTTTACGTCTCTCTCTCTCTCTCTCTCTCTCTCTCCTGTTTAGTGATGTGAATGGCTTTTGGTTTGTGAATAAAAAACAAACAAAATTTTAATTTATTTTTTTGAATACTTTTTGTTGTGATTATATTAAATATACGATTAAATTGAATGTAAATATATTGTAATTATTCGTGAAAAGAAGTTTTTTCTTGTGTCGAAACGAAATGAAATCAATTTTAAATTTATTATAAGACATATAAAGAGACTAATTATATGTAAAACAAAACCAAAATAAAATATACTTTTTTCTCTGCCGATACTGTCGGCCACTAAAGAGACTTTTGTTGGCATTTATTTGAACGTTAAGTAAAGAATAGTTAGGGAGAGAGCCTTCGTGTTGGTATTCACTGGCCTCTCTCTCTCTCTCTCTCTCTCTCTCTCACTGAAACCCATATCCCGGTGCTGTGATTGATGTTGAGCTACATGTTATGATACGGAGACACTAATACACTGATTGTTGCAATATCTTATAATAAATTTAAAATTGATTTCATTTCGTTTCGACACAAGAAAAAACTTCTTTTCACGAATAATTACAATATATTTACATTCAATTTAATCGTATATTTAATATAATCACAACAAAAAGTATTCAAAAAAATAAATTAAAATTTTGTTTGTTTTTTATTCACAAACCAAAAGCCATTCACATCACTAAACAGGAGAGGGAGAGAGAGAGAGAGAGAGAGAGAATGTAAATTGAATGTTTGTGTCAAATATATTTTTAAACATATCAATTGAAAAATGCTTTTTCATTAAACAAACGCTGATTTGTATGCAAACAACAGATAACTAATTGTCTCAACAACTGAGTTGATTAACTCATTAACATAGTTGTTGAGAAGGAGAGAGAGAGAGAGATGTGTGCCTGTATTGTGGGGTACAGATAAACGAATGAGAGAGAGACCACAATTTCAATTTTTTGAATCTCTCTCTCTCTCTCTCTCTCTCTCTCCGGTGCACTAAAAATATATTTATTTTTCATTTGCAATAAATTATGTTTTCCTCATCGATGTTATGATTAGTTCTCTCTTCAGCTGCACATCTCAATGGCCCTCATCATCACCGGTGGTGGTGGTAGTGGTGCTGGTGTTGTAGTAGTAGTAGTGATGCACTGGTGTTCACTCACTCATACATTTCTTCACTACTATAGCGTACTGTATGTTCCCATTCCTACCGGTCCTCCAAAAACGTAAATGCAGTTTAAAGGCATATCTGCTCTGCGGTAGGTATGAATGGTCTCTCTCTCTCTCTCTCTCTCTCTCTCTCTCTCTCTCTTTCCTGTGCTCTGTGTGTGTGTTTGGAGTGATATTCCATTCTATCAATTCTTGTGTCTGTTATAAGACTTATTACCGGTTTTTGGTTTTAAACACAACGAGAGAGAGAGAGAGAGAGAGAGCATAACATACTTTACATGTTTGTTAAGACCATTCATAAGACGGGAGAGAGAAAGAGCCTTAACCATAATGAACAGCACATCCACACCACTCACACCATACTGTGTGCGATAGTATGTGATAGTAATGCTGTTTCGGCTGATGGTCTTTAGTGCCGACCCCTCTCGCCATATATAATATATCTATCATTAGTTGTGACCATTATTTCGAGTCTTATTTTTGTTTTCATATAAATAAAACTATTTTTTAACGCAAACCTAAGAGTGTATCCAATAAATCGTTGACAACAATGAAATTCAATGAGATTTTTACGACTATTTACTCAATGCCCACAAGATATTAGGGGTTTTTGTGTACAAAACAATATTTTTACTTCACTTTTTATGAAGTGTTTACTCTTGATATACATAAATGTGAAGATTTTTTTTTCTTGAGTTGACTTTTAGTTTGTTTGGTCCCGAATAACAAGCGGCTGAACCCATGCCGCGGGGTCTCGGGTTTGTTGCCTAAATTATAGCGTATATACAGTACACTCACAAACACACACCGGTAGGACACCCGGGGGTTTGGTATTTGACAGACTAATAGACATATCAAATCACACCCCCTATAACTTCATGAGAGAGCCAAGATTAAAAAGCCCATTCCCGGCGAGAGAGAGAGAGAGAGAGAGAGAGACGTAAAATATTTACCACAAAAAATTGTTTTACAAAAAACAAATCAAATCTAAAACAATTAAAAAATATATTAAATTTAAAAAAATACAATTAATATATAAATTATAATTCAAACCTACGGTTAAGTCTTAAATATAATCAAATACATGAACATAAGTATCACAAAACCACTCAATATTAATATGAGTTTCATTTTGCGTGCGCTTCGCATAGACTTCTCGGCTTTGCTGAGCGCCAGTACCCCGTCCTCTACCCTGTGCTGCACTGTCTCCACGTTGTAGTCGATTCGGTCCAACACTGAGCCCTGCGTTACCACCAGTGTATTGATGTCTTGGAATATCTGGTTTAGTTCGCAAATGGACTTTACGATTGCCGTCATCTCCTGGTCTCTGGCCTTCAGGTGCTCCGAATCCATCATCAGATGCGACAACTGTTGCTGCTGTTGGCCGGCGCTCATCGCCGCCGGTCTCATGTCCTCGAAGTATTGATACATATCGTCGTACTGTTGCTGATCCCCGCCGTTACTCATCATTAGCCTATCGGTGTCGCCCCCACGGCTTCCACCGCCGGCGCCCGGAATTGAGTCAAATGTAATGACAAACTGTTCGTCGATTTTGTCGTTTTCCGTACACTTAATGATGTAATTGTTTTGACAAAAGCGGTACTTATGTGTCAACTCCTGAATCTCTTTGCACTGCCATTGAAACACATTCTTCACGATACGCGAGTCGGCGCTCAATCGGGACATCACTTGCATCTGACTTAAGAGCGAATGGAGACGATTGAACAGTTTGTTGATCTCTTGGCACTTGAACTCGATCTCGATTTCGTAGCTCTGATTGGCGGCCGACTCCGAGTCGTCCGAGAATATGGACGTCGACTTACTCTTCAGGTGCTCCCTTTGGATCACATTCAGCTGATCCACTGATTAAGACAAAACAATTAAGCCATCAATTAGTTCAACGATCACATGACATAATCAATGGTACATACATTTAGTGTTGATCTTCACGCACTCGTACCGAAACTCGTCCACATTTGAGAGCCACTCGGGAGCGATTGTGTCACCCATTGGGTCGCCATTAGTGGTCAACTCTATATCGTTGGCGTCGCTCTTGCCGTTCACCAGATTCGCCCTCTCGTCGTCGTTATCGAACTGATCCCAAGAGAGTGATCAACAAATAAGACAATCATTAGTGACAATATTAATAATAAGACATCCACTGAACACCACATCCGGGTTTGGATGAGATTAAGCGACAGATATATTGTTTACCTCTTTATAAAAGTATCGCTTTTTGGTGGCGTTATTCCTCATCAGCACAAACGTCTCCGTATGGCTTCTGTGGGCCATAGCGTATGGTTAGCGCTTCAGCGGATCAACTCTGCGGTGATAATTGGCGGACAATATGGTCCGTATGTCTTGTATTGTAAACAAACACTTGCGATGATGTCTTGGACGCCCTCTGGAACTGTCTTTCTCTCTGTCTCTGTGTTTAGTTATCTAATATCGGTTTCCATACCAATGAGACAATGGTATCGGCGATTCAGACATCGGTTCCCGCGAAGTGACGGACAATCAGTGGGTAAATCATGTGTTGATTTCAATGTGAAAACAAATCTCCGAGAAATGTATTGACACAACACATGTCAACAACAAAGCCGTTCGCAAACAACGTTACGATTTTCCCACACAAATGTATGGTGTATTTGTATGAGTGTTAAGTTTGATATAGGGTGTTTTAGATAGAATTGTATACGCGGTGGAATATTTCACCTAGGTTATATTTCAGGTATCAAATGACCCTGCATTGTCTTTGAAAGTGTATCACTGGTTTAACTAGATTAGTTTTTGGCTTCATTTCATATGATTAGTATATGATTTGCATGTTTTTCTGAAAACTGGTTATTAATATGGTTTGGTATAAACTGTATGCTATGTAAGCCTATGGTGTGTTTAATCCGGTTTAGTTAAGCCATAAATGGATTGCATATTAATGGCAAACAGTACTTCATATGATTTAATGTACTGTTAAAACGTTAAATATGTAGTTAAAAGTGCATAACAACAGACATTACAATTTCTCCTTCACTTTGAAAGGCTTTCCTAACACTTCAAAAATGTTTAATAATTTTTTATACATATAATTTTTATTTATAAAAACAACACATAATAAGTGATTATTTTTATTCATTTTTCTTACGGTAAAAATAATACATTAATTATAATAATATTTTTGAGCGAAAAATCAATTTTGTCATTGAATTGGAGACACAAAGAAGTAGAGGATATACAGAGACCAGACATATAGAGATACAGTACACACTCTCTCACTGAAACCCATATCCCGGTGCTGTGATTGATGTTGAGCTACATGTTATGATACGGAGACACTAATACACTGATTGTTGCAATAATTACTTAATAATGTATGGATTTTATGTGTGAAAAATATTAGTTCATAATAAGGTTAACTAAACAAAAAAATATGTGATCTAAGAAACAGTTTTGCTTTCGGACTAACCCTAAGGTTTCTACCGAAAGACAACACAAAAACTGAAAGTCATGTTCACATAGTTTTCAGTCAATATCTTGGGTTTGTTTTGTGGGTCCGGAAAGTAGTTAACGAAATATATAATGAAGTTTATTGTAAATAATTAGAAATTTTATTTTGTAATACATTTGAGGTTTTGTTTTATTGTGTTTTCGCTAAAGAAATATTCAAAGTTCTTTTCCCTTATTTTTCTCACACAATCAGGTCTTGTGATTATGTTTTGCAACAAAATAGAGAGAGAGAGAGAGAGAGAGAGAGAGAGAGAGCATAGAAATAAGCAAATCTATTAGTAATGAAATAATCATTAATTTGTAGTCAAAAGGCGTCCATACGTTAAGAAAGGTCTGTAATATATATTCCCCTAATATTCTCCTCTTTATTATTGACTATTAATAGACACATAAAACGAGTGGAAAATAAAATTCAAAAAATAATAATATTCTTTTCACTTTTCGGACGGTTTAGCTGTGAATGAATTTCTTTGGCAACAAATTAAACCTATAATACGGAGATATTTTTGTTTGATTTTATATGCCATTTGAAAACATCACTATTGATTAGTATTAAATTTATGTAGAGAGAGAGAGAGAGAGAGAGAGAGAGAGAGAGAGACCATTCATTAAATATTCCTTAAGTGTTTGAAAAAAGTTTTAGTTTTAAAGTTTTCTGGAAATTAATTCAATAAAAACAAAAATTACTAGTTTTTTAGTTGAAAATACTTTTTATAAACAAATTATTTAAATTATGCAATTTATTCAACACTTTAATTTTATATTGAATTTTTCTGCCAAAATGTTTTGCTTTTACTTTTGATATACAAAAAGCAAATCAAAATCTAATTTAACTTTTCATGAGAGAGAGAGAGAGAGAGAGAGATTTAATATTAAAAAATTGTGTATTTAATCGGAAAATTCTTTGAAAATAATTTATTCAATGAAAATAAACACTAAAAATAATGAATCAATTGATAGGAATTCAATACAAAACACTAATTATTATCAATTTAAACACAGAAACAAAAACAAAAGTTTGTTTTGCAAACTAATAATTACACAAAAATCGTATATATTTTGAATACATTTATCAAAGAGATTGTGATGAAGATATAAGACTAATATATAAAATATATATAATTATTAAGAAATTTATACATAAGTAATAAAATCAAAGTTTATAACATATTTAAGGCAAATTTTATACATATAAAACTTGATAAATTTCTCAATTATAAAAAATATACTATAATTATGTCTTAATAATGTAACATTAAGCTACTTTAACCGTCGGTACAGTAGTCCTATCATCGGTATCGTTGTCCGAAGTGAAGGCCCGGTTAATGTAACCCACGATTGAGACGCTGCGGAAATTTTCGTCCCGATATGTCCGCCACTCTTGAAATATTTTTGGATTACTGGGTCCCCAGTCTGGGGCCGGTCTGAACGCACCCATGATTTTCTGCCCGACAAACAAATACACACAATAATAAAGATTATTTCATTGAATTTAATATTTCTTGTTTTGTTTGATATTGTTTTTTGTTAATTTAATGCAATCTTTATGGCATTACATGTGATAGTAATTTATAATTGATTTGAGAGTTTAGAGATTGTGTCTGGAATTTATGCAAAATATCTAACCATTGCGTGAATCGAGAGTAAAATAATGACTGATTTTATTTGAGAGAGAGAGAGAGAGAGAGAGAGAGAGA